TTAAAATTGGAAAATGCAATTAATTTTTGTTTTTGGTTTTACATAATTATAAAAATATATAAGCTCTTCATTGATGCTTGTACAATTTAAATTAAGAAATAGGGAAATTGCTTTTATTTTTATAAATTAAGAAAGTTCATATTTTGTTACTTTAAATTACTTTGTGGAGAATCATAATTAATTGCATTAAAATGCAAAATTTTTAAAATTTAGTTTCTTTATATGGATAATCCCCTACTATACTAAGGTTATTATAAGTGTAAAACATAGTTAATAATTTATTTAATATTAAAACTCGTAATTTTTCGGAGCTGATTTATGAAAATTTTAAGGAAAAGTAACATTACTGTATGTATATGCGCTTATCAACGACCAAAATTACAAAACTTTTTAAACACAGATTGTAATAAAAGTTTTTTATATAAATGGTGTACAAAGGGCGTCTCGTTTCTAAGTGTACTGCTATATACCATTGGATAAGCCCTCATGAGAAGTTAAAACTTTTGTATACAAACAATGCACATAGATCAACAGGTTTCGAGATAAATTCAATTCTGGCCGCTTTTTTTTACTTTCTGAAATTTTAAGTATAATCCCATCTCTGTTAAGTATAACTCTGTTTCCGATACACGCTGTATTAAAATTAAATATATTATTTGTATTTGTTTACTTGACTTTTTGTTCACATAATCTGACTTACTTTATATAATGTCAGAATGTGTGATTGTTCACATACCAGTTGCATTTTAGTTGTACAATTTAAGTATTTACATACACACGTTGGTGATTGTTCCTTTTTTCAATGCGTAATTATTAACAAGACGTCAATTTAATGAACTAAATGCAATTCCAAAAAAATGTGTAAATTTGATGCACTTCAAGAAATTGCATAATTTGATTGAATTTTTATATTTTACAAAATGAATGGAACAAGTTGATATAAATATCTTTATTGTACGTACGTATATTGTGAGATTGAAGGTATATATGATCACATATTTTATGTGAGTTTTTTAATCAACATAAAAAAATGGTAGAATAAATTTTACTTTCGAATATTTTTTTTGCTATATTTGTTTTAAAAAATTTGTACTTGCTTCCTTTTATGCAATTAAGAAATGATGATCTTTTGTATTATTTACTATGGTGTGAGTTAAACTTGTAAGACTGTAAGAGTTAAGCATTTTCTGGAATTAACATTAAATATGGATTTTTCGAATTTGTTTATTGCAGTATAATAAAATTTTTTAAATTACATTCATTTAATATTTTTACTTATTATAAAAATTTTGGAATGATTGTGTATAAAAAAATTAAATTTTCCGACATTTGTTTTGGTATCTGTATAACCTTATTTTAATACGAGTATATGTAGGTACCTATAATTTGTTACTCAATTTTGGAAAGGAAGGAAAATTTAATTAAGAAATAAAAAATGAAATAGTCATTATGTAAAAGTAATGTTAATTAACACCACTTAGGTCTACAAGTTATAATTTATTATAAAGCACTAAGTCAAAGAAATTGAAACGATGTTCTATTGAAAGAATTTTCTTATTGTCACATAATTTTGCATATATTTTGGATGAAGCTTAAATAAATTTAATCAAGGAACAATGGATAGTTTTTTTTTGGTTAATAGGACGATTATTGTTACAGTTTTGATTTTATAACAGATTTATGTAGCTTCCTTATAGTTTTCAAGAAGTAGGGAACCTAAAATGTGATTTTTCGGTAAAACGTGATATTTTGAGCGGTAATAAATGGGAAGAAGAAGGAATTGCCAGAAATATAATAGATAATTTGAGAAATAAATTCGACAGTTTAGTTTACAAAATTAATAAATTGCAGAATTGGTTTTGATGCAGTTGCTTTTCAAAAATTTGCATATTATGACTTTGGACGGCTATAACATCGAAGTGATGGAAAAATTTTTACTTAAGAAACATAATGTTTCCACCAAAGTTTATGTGTGTATTAAGTTTCGTCTTTGCAATTTAAACAATGCATAAAATTTTTGTAAACAGACTGATAGATGCAAATCCTCAAAAATGTTTTGAAAATGTGCCAAAAAAAATGCCTAAATTCTATATACGAGCTAATTGTACAAATTTTCTATATATAATTTTTATTTAAATCAATTATCGCGTTTGTTTTCTTTCTTAAATAATTGTGACAATTTATTTTATTAAAGTTTTAATTACCATTAAATAATACAATATTTTTGAAATTGAATGAGATTTTAAAAAGGTAATTGCCACTTTAAATGTTTTGTTTTTTTTTATTCTAGATTTATGGAGGCTTTCGTTGTTTTTTTGGAAAGTGATTTCAAATTTGCATACTTATAAATATAGTGTTGAAGTTTAAAAGAATTTGTATTTAATTTAATATTTTGAATACGGAAGTAATTAATTTAAATATAAAATATATTTGCGTATATAAGAATCTGGTAAAACAATATTTTAACAGATTGCTATCATGTTTTAATCAAAACTAAAAGATTTGTTTCAATATTGCAAAAATAAATTTGGGATGTAGGTAATCATTGCTAAAAAAACATGCTAAAATTTTAAATTTGAAGACGATTTAAAGTAAAAATTTATTTATAAAATTGTCGTTTAATGGTGTTTGCGGAAATATTTCTTTGAAATTAACTTTTTTTTTTTTTCGACTTAGCGAGCACAAGGAACAATACAATTTTTTTATATTTAAATTTATGAATCAAAGATTTTTTATCAAATATAAGGAAACGATGTGTCATTTAGAGAGTAAAACAAAAATTTATGTTTAAAAAAAAATTGGAAAAAAGTCATGGCAAAATTCGTTAATCAATAGTTTTATTTATGTAAATGTTTATATGTAGTGTATAAATGCGTTTGGTACTATGGGTTGTTTATTAGTTATTATAGATATGTTAGAATCTGAATTTTTTGTACTACCAAAATTATAACAAAAAAGGAAAGGTAACAATGGTTAAACAATTTTTATTAAAGAACGCTTGAACGTTGTTGATCAAAAAACGCAGTGCAATATGTAAATATAAAGTCGGCAATATAGTCAATGGCTATATCCAAAAACGTTAATTTTTTCTTCAATTGAACACATTTCGTGTTCTTCCAAAAAATGTGCTTGAAAATGCAGTACAATTTTTGCAATTTGTTTTATAACTACAACTGTTTTATTTTACTGTTGCGAAAAAAATTTTGTGCTTAAAAATAAAATAATGTTGAATTTACAGGATTTTTTAGAATAAGTTTTCTTTTAAATTTTGTTATTATTTTAATAAAAAATTTCAATTTGCAATTCAGTGAACAGCTGGAAAATGGATAATTTTGTGGTTTAATTTTTGAAATTTGAAAGAAAAAATAATATGATAATCTTAGAATTTTAACAACTAAAAAAATTTTCATGCTAATGTCAAATTTATAATTTTCACAGCTACGTCTTTCCGTTGTCTAAGTTATTTAAGTTCTAAGTTATAAATACCAAATAAAAATTTTATTATATCAATAATCTTAACGCGGTATGCGGCATATATGTTTATAGTGAAAAATACGTGCGTAAATCGTACTAGTTTCGAATTCCCAGTTCTAAAAGTGCCAAATGAAACTAAAAGAATAATTTTATTACTTTTGTATGTACAAATATTGTATTGACATTGTATATAAACGTCAATTATATTTTTATATCAAAAACTGTTATGACCCGCGGTACAATATTGCTTTGCAGCAATGGCTTTGGGTTATTTTGATTATCGCTATAGATTTACCATAAGTATATACGTGTATAAATAAAATATATTTATTATATATGTATATACATAACATATGTACACACATATACATATACATACATATATCAATAGTCAATAATATGACGTGTACTACATAATCAATAAAAGTGAGAGTTCTGAGAATTTCACCTTAAAAATATTTTGATAAATGTTATTAAAACCATATTAAAAAAAAAAAATAAAATACAAAAAAAAATTAAGACAATTTATTAAAAAAAAAATATTTTTGTGAATTTTATGTGTCAAAAAAGATTAAAAAAATATAAGGGAAAATCATAAATAAATAACTGTAAAGTTATAATAACCTTGCAATAATAAAAATATTCATTAATCGATTTCATGCCAAAAATGAAAATCGAATAAAACAGAAAATCACCTCTGCTTTTCAAAATTAATCAAAAATAATAAAACTGTAACAAAAATTTATGATTTACTTCAATATTTATGGTTAATTTTTCAGTGTCAGACTGAAAAATTGAACTCTTTTTTACAAACTGACATTAACACTGAACTTGAATTTATTTCGTTCCGTTAAAGTAATCAATTTTTACAATCTTTCTTCTTTACATTTTACTTATTTTTGTTTTATTACATTTATTTTGCTTTTGTGTTTCAGTTGTTTGCTAAGTATATTGTCTTTTCATTGAATGTTTCACATGTTCGAATTAGATCACAAGTACCCTGTTGATTTAAGTATGTTACTATGTTTATATTGTATATAATTTGTATGCCAATATGATCATTGATTTTTACCTTACTTTAAACGCATGAATAAATCATTACCGTTTTTTTTATTTTTAACCAAAAACGATAGCAGTTGAATTAAATATTGTTTTCAATTTAATATTTCAATTTAATAAACCATGAAGTTTTATTTTATTTTAAATTAAATACTTCTGTTGCAATTATTTTTTGTGAAGTGTAAATGATGTTTATGAATTGTTGTAAGAATGTCTCTATTATACTCGTAAATAAAAAGAATTGAAAAAATTAGAAAAAAAAGTGAGTTGTGTAAAATAAGTGTATAATTTGTATTTCAAGTTTATAATGCCTAATGAGATGATCAGAATTTTTTACGAAATAATTTTGTAATTTGTAGTTGTAACCTTAACAAAATTTTAATTGATATATTGGTACCAGATTGCAAAATAATAATAAAGATATGTATAAATAAAAAAAAAAAACAAATATTTAAAAAAAAACTTACGTTCGCGCCAATTGAATTGAAATGTCTAAAAGTAATTCTCCAACTGTGGCAATATCTTCAGTTTTATATTCTCCTTTTGGCTGTGATACATCTAAAATTAAAGAAAAAATCAAATTTAATAAAAATAGATAAAACAATTAGGAAGTTATATAATCGATTAGTTAGTATTTCCTGATTTCCACGTATGAACAAAATCGGTTGTTAAATCGCCTTTAAACAACCTCTAAACTTTATAGTTTTTTGTTAAATGCTGCAACATAAAACGTTAATAAAGTATTGTGTTTAATTTATGAAATAAATTTGAATGTAATCTGTCAAAATCGTTGCATACTGTTTTGAAATTGCATAGGATTTTAATGTTTCTTAATTTTAATTTGTCTTGAAACTTGACGACTTTATTGCAATTTAGGCAGCAAATAACAAAACATGCCAAGAAAAACGGGTTTATTGCTAGAAATATGAAATTAGTCATATGCCAACTACAAACTTGGAATTTTTATTGAGATGTTCTCTACCTTTTGCTTTTGCATAGGTATGCAATACAGTTTTTAAACAATATGAAATTGAATAATTTTAAGCGTATAAGATTCGAATTTTGTGCCATTTGTAAAGTAAATGTGGTAAAGTGTTGCCAACCAAAGGTCAGAGGCATCGTTCGACTATTCTCCTTCGAAAATGCAGCTGGTCAGACAATAACAATTAATGATGCCCGTTATCGCCACATGATAATCCAGCTTTTTGTACCAAAATGGCAGGATATGCGTGTAAGCGGTATGTGGTTTCGATGAGATGGTGCCAAATAGTATACAGCCCGAGAAACAATTCAATTACTGCATAAGTTTTTTTCTGGTCGTGTAATTTCCCATTTTGGTGATCAGAATTGGCCGATCATGCGATTTAACGTCGTTGTTTTAATTACAATTTTTAATTATATGAACCTGTGGTTTCAAAATTACTTGCGTGGATTTTGGGACAATCATTAAAAAATTTCTGTATAAACAATATGGAAGGCGATGAAATTTTTTATTTTAGTTTAGTTTAGTTGAATATTTAATTTTGTTTTTGAAAAGCGGAATTGTATTTAAAACGTTCTGGCTTCATATTTCGTAAGAAAATTGATGAGACTAAGATTTATTTGCGTTTATTTATATGTGATAGAAAACCTTAAATTAAACTATAATCTTTACCTACACAACATAATGCAAGAAAAAAACCAACTCTTTAATAATTTTGTCTCACTATTTAACGCATTTTATAGATTTGAAGTTAAAGAATGTAAATTAAAAAATATGTGGAGAAAGGCCAAGGTTAAAATGAAAAGTGATTATTAATATTAATTTGTGGTAACATTATATTTCAACAATGTGTTTGTAACAATAATAAAAAAAAAATAATCAAAATAAAAAGAAAAAGTAAACGAACAAAAACTGGTAATTAATTGTGCTATGATAAATTAAATTATAAAACTACAATAAACACTTATATATAATAAAAAAGCTAATACTGGACAGAAAAACCGGTTATGTACAATAAAATAATAACAGTATTGTCGACTAACATAATTATTTTAATCATTTTATTAAACTTGTTCTTTCAATAAGTTTTTATAGCATGGAACTATGCAAAACTAATATTTCAAATTTTAAAAATAAAATTACACATGTATGACTCGGGTGTACATTAGTGATCAGTTTATTATAAAAATATTTTAATTAATCAAAAACTGCAAAAGCAAAAACATGGAAATCATACTTCATAAAATATTTTTAGTTCTGTATACCATTTGGGTATAAAAATTTCAATATTTAATTTATTATAAAATTTCCAAGTTGATTAGTAATTTTGGCAACGGGTTTAGTAAATTGTCATCATTATTGATTAAACAGGGACTTGTTTTCATATCCGGGGCTATAAGGTTTCGTAATTTGTTTTTTTTTTAAGTTATTAAATTGACAGTTTTATCTTTGTTGTTTTTAGTAAAGCTGCAAATGTAGGAAAATTTGGTCGAGTAAATTTATGCTAGATTAGGCAAAATACAGTTTGATTTTATGCCAAAATCAAATAACAAAAACATTGTCGCCCACAGAAAATTACATACATGTATAAAGAGATGGCAAATTTAAGGGAACGTCCTTTCGATTGTTGCCTCCTTTTAATGCAAATCTGTCTGATTTCAAATGCCAAAATTGGTATTAAAAGTTCCAATAACTCAACACTGTATAGAGCTGGCGCATGAGAGCTTATTTTATTAGACAAATTGATATTAGATTTTGATTTTAATTTTTTGACATTTTTTTTGTATTTAAAGAATTTTGTTAGCATGAAAACATCTCTTTTCCGACTATTCCTAAAATATTTTTGTGCAGTATTAAGCTGTTTGACAAGATATTGTTTGAAAAAATATTATTGTGTATTGTTTTTTATTGTTTTTATTATGTCATAATATTGAAATATCTGCACAAATCAAGAAAAATTCTATATGAAAAAATTTCACAATGCACTTTGTAATTGTGACATGTATATACACATAAGTAATGCACATATGTGTATGCATGCTTAAATATATAAAAAAATTCACAATATAAATTGCAAAACATGATGAATTGTTATGTTTTGCAATTTATAAATGTTTGAGTTTGAGCCCTTCTTCTCTAATTTATATGATGGTATAATTTGATCTAATAATAAATTACTTAACTTGCAACACCAAAAATGCAAACGCGTCATATTAAATAATATCGTATAATAAAATTGCATTTACAATTCAAATTTTTATCTACAATTTACTTTCAAAATCGAGAGTGTTGTAATTTTATTATACTTCAATAAAGTTAAATTATTTAAAAAAATTTTTTAATATGATTAATGTGCAACAATAATTTTTTGTTGCATCTACCCACATATTTACACTGCATTTACCTTAGATAAAAAAAAAATTTTGCAACTTTTTTTACTTTACATGGAAATTTGAGAGATCAGTAATTTTGCGTATAAGTACTAAATAATTCTTCATTTTTTATTTTTTAATTATTTAATTGCATGCGAAAATTGAGCCCAATTCACATTTATCGTAAATGTATATTCTTATACAAGTTTTGTATAGCAGCACACTAAATAATGCACAAAGGTGCAGAAATTTGTTAAAATTATTATAATCGTCTTTTTTTTTTGTCTGAGGTAAATTGCCGTCACTTACATCACTCCGATGAAACAAAAAATAATGGAAAATTAAAACAATTCCAGTAATCTAAAGGTTTCTAACATGTTAACTAAAATTTCTAACATGTTAATTAAGAAATTTTTGTATCACTATGAAAAAAACAAATTATTTTATTATGAATAATTTATTGCAAGGAAATTTTGTTAACATGCCATGTTATGAATAATATAAGTGGAATTGCATAATTTGATATTGTTATGAAAGTATATACCTAGCCTAGCATAAATTTATATTTAAAGGGTTTATTTAAGTAATTTATTCATTGTTTTATTAATTTTCAATTTATGAAAGCATAAATTTGAATGATAAAAATTGTAAAAGTTTATTTATTAAAATTGAAATTCAAATGTAGAATTTCAAATAGATTTGGTCCAAGTGTCAGTCTTTTATAGAAATTTAGAACGTTTTTTTAAAAAATTCGCTTCAAAATATACAAGGCTTATATAAATATTTGAAACTGAAAGTGATTTTAAGTTGATAATTCAAAATTCATATAATTTTATTTATTTGTAGAACAGTTGCTTAAATTGAGCAATAATCGCATTTATAAACTGTCATTTACAATAGGTGACACCTACAACAGACCTAGTCAAACATCTATCGGATTCATTTTGTGTTATTAAATTTAAAATACAATGGATGCTATAGGTGATTTATTAAAGTAATATTAATCGGAAGCAAATTTACTTATAGTTTGTATTAAATGTAAACATAAATACGTAAGTTCAGTACATATTTTTCCTAATATTAAAAAATTACTACGCACATATGCTTATAGTTTCAATTTGGAATGGTTGATGTCTGACACACTTAGCCATTTATAGATTTTATGTAATATGAGGTGAAAAATTGAAATGACGCACCCTCTACACTTTACAAAAAAAAAAAACACAATTTTTTAATTAGATCTTTAAAAATCGTAATTTTTCCCGATACATAATTAAAAAATTCATATTAGTGTTTAACTCGTTTTTCAAAAATATCATTTTTAGTATATTACAAAATTTTTAAAATATTATTCTATAGTATTTCCTCAACAAATTCTCTATCCTCGTTTTATTTTTTCTTTTAATCTGCTTAACCATTTATAAAATTATAAAAATTATTTTTCTTATTTTATTAACACTATTTAACTATTAAATTACCAATTAAAAAATGTCTAAACTATAACTGTTATAGAACAGTTATACTTAAAATTTTTAATTAAATTTCAGGTCGGCTAAAACCAAAAAATATTTAAGACTTAATTATAAAACATTTGCTTTACTATAGTAATAAACTTACGTATTCTTTTTCTGGCATCTAAATAAGCTGCATTAATGGCATCGTATGTAATACAGGTGTTATAGGGTGAAAAAGCATTTCTGAAATAGGAAAAATAAAAAATATTTATTAATACAATGCAACGTAACTAACACGAATATTTTCAATAATTTTGATCTTGCTTTAGAGCAAGAAAAAAATAGAATAAGCATTATTGTTGTATAACCTGTTAAGTTCTTTAGTTAAAAAAAAATATTGAATTAAATGGGAAATAAAATTTAAAATATTATCAGATAATGTGTGTTTTGCTTGACCATTTTAGTTGAAAACGCCACAGGAATTTGTCTAGTTTAATGATGTATGAAGAATAAAAAAAATTTTTCTTTAATGAAGGAACAGACATTGAAAAAATGCTGTGCTATAAATTCGGTTCGTATAAAATATTTGTGTTAAATATTGTTTATTGCATTTAAGTATATATGTACATATATTTCCCCATAAGGTTAGAATAATAGAAGGCATAGTGTAACATTTGCTGTTTAAGAGCTTGAACGAATTTAAAAATTCATTAAATTGATTTAAAAAAAAATTGGAATAATAATATTTATATGTCAAATTTATGTCAGAAATTATGTTGATATTACATATTTATGTGACAGCAGTTAGTACGTTCCACATTTTTTGATATCAAATCACATTGTAACTTGCCTTTATAAATTTTTAAATCAATAATTTCATTTTCCTTTAATTTTTTGTAAATAAAGAACATTTTTTATATGTATAACAGCAGCAAGGAGATATCCCCAGGAAGAAATATTGAAATTTTTGAACGACGTACTAAGCTAAAAATAAATACATATGAGAAAATTATTCGAAATTCATTATGTTGCAAAAGGTATAACCATGAATGTTGCATGTGTATGCATATGTTTTATTCTTCTTCTATACCGTAAGCCTTCAATCCTCTAATTTTAATAAAATATGTAATCGTTCTACCACACAGCACATTAATTTTTGATTTAGTCTATAGCAGTATAACATTAAAGTTGATCATTTTACAGACATTAAGTACAAAGTTCAATTGAAAAATTCGGCATGTTCACTTCAAATTCCTATAGTTATAATTTATTTCAAGTTTATTACCAGTTAAAGAACTTTCTATTTTCACATATTTGTATGTGTGTTCGCTTTCCTTTGAAATCAGAACTAATTTTAACCAAAGATTAATTTTCATCTTATAAAATCGAACATTATATTGTACGAAATGAATAATAATTTTTTTTTTTTTGAAGCATTAAAAAATATACAGGGAAAGCCTGCTATGATAATTTTCTTTTTCGATTTTTCAAATTGTTTACGTATGCCACAGATTTTTATTATTTTATTATGTACAAACATAAAATACATGCGTTTGTATTTCTGCAGTCTTGTTATGTTTTGCAAATATGACAAAAGGAACAAAATACTTGTAATTACTCCTAAGGAAGTTTTAATTTAAGCGCTGCAATAATAAGACGCTTTTTAATTATTTCGTATTTAATAATTAATATAAAAATTTCTGTATTTTAAAGACTTAAAATTATGGTAATTATCGTATGGTGGGATTATTCTTACATCAATCGCAAATCACCGAATCTATGAGAATTCACAATAAATTATACCAATATGATCATGAAATTTATGCATTTATTTCTTCAAATTCCTTTTACTTGTAAACATGTTTTTGATGAGATGATTTTAAAATTAATGAAAATATGCAAGTTCCGCTACCATAACATGGTAATTTATAATCATTATTAATAAGCTATTGTAATAATTTTATAATTACATACATGAAACAGTAATCATTTTAATATTTAAGCATCTTGGTGGAGAACGAATTCATACACATGTACATACACATGTATGTGTCTTTAAAATACACCGTATTCATTCATAATATAATTGAATTACATGACTTGTCAGTATTCTTGCTGCTACACTATTTTGTTTATGGTAAGTGCATATATGCATGAAATTTTAGAAGAATGTCAAAATCCGTCTTTTTTCAAACTTTTATTCAATTATCATAACTTTTTTTATTTTTGATTTATGTACATATATATATGCAATTATGTATGTATGTATGAAGTGGTTCAACATTCTTAATAACTTTTGAATATTGTATGCGAGTAATTAACTAAAAAATGGATGCATGTGTACGTGATATGTTTATATAAAAACGATTGCCGCTTTTAAATTAAAAAATTAATTTTAATTTAAAAAATTTAATATACAATTATGTATGTAAAACATTATTTTATCTATTTTTACAATAAAAAATGTAAAATTATAGAAATCTTTTTTTGAATTTATAATTTCCGCCACTCGTACACGTCATAATTTCTTTACTTTTTCATAACATTTAACAAGTTTAGATATCCATGCCGCCTTAACGTATGCAATTTTTTTTGTAAAATTTTGGATACATTTGATTTTTATTTCAAACCGGATAAGAAGTGGAAATTAAATTTTTTAAGAAAAATTTCAAACAAAATTTTAAAATCCCTAACAAATCTTTTTCATATTGATTGGAGTATGTACAAGTTCACATATAATGTCAAGGATATTCAATGGCAAGGATACGTTTGCAAGTAAATTTAATGCCTCATATAATCAATACAAAATTTGTTCTATTGATTTAAAATTTCAAATTTTTATTAATTTTTCACTTTACGTGCAATGAAAATAGCAAATTTCAAAAATTAAAAAATCAAAAGTAATTTTAAAAACAAAATCAAATGGTAACCCCAATTACCTATATACATATATAGGTATATAGAAGTATATTTGTAGATTTTGTATTTACATTGAAATTGGTTTAATAGTAATAAAAATTAATTTTCCTATGGTAGTAAACGACAGTGAAAGTTTTTGTTTCTTCTTCTCTTACCGCCTAAAATTTCGCTTTTCTTTTGCATGATCCCGGCAATTCTTTGTTGCATTTCCAGTTTTAAAATTTTTATTCTTCTTCTTTATTTTTTTTTTTGCTGAGAAATAAAAATGTGCATGAAATTTAAAATTTTTAAATATTTCGTCATCATCATTGAAAAGATGAAGACGACATATAATTGCATATTTTTCTCTTTCTATCACATTATACACAACATAAAGATGAAAAATAGTTGTATATAGCAATATTGAATTCAGTATAAATTATAGAATACGTTGAAAAATTTTAGTTGAAGATCAACTTTACTAGCATTTTATTACTACGAGTATTAGCAATTTATTTTTATGTTATAAACATAAAAAAAAAATCAAATTATATGTTTATGTCCCAATATAAATAAAGAATTATTAATAATTGTTAAGATCTTGCATTAGGTTTGGAATGAAAGAAAAATGCGCCAACGTAATTAAGGAATCAATTTTTTATCTATAGATATTCAATTTTATATGTATGTATATATACATAGCAGTTTTTACCGGTTATTTGAGTCTGTAAATGTATATATGAAAGCGTATTCGCACTTCAGTTTTTGGTAAAATGAAAAAAAAAATACGAGTTTTAATTTTCAATTTTATATATGTGTGCACCTTCTTCTTGATGGCTGATGATCATATGATGATGATTTATAATTCAGGAGTTGAAACAGGAAATGAATGTAGTGTAAGCACGTATGGGTGTTATTTTTGATCCCATACAATATGTTAACACAAATACACATTTAGTTTTTGTTGTGTTTAAAATATTAAGTGGTATTTAAGGTGAATGATAGTCATACTATCACTTAATAAGTATTATAGACCCTATCATATGTTATTGAAAGGAAAATGGCGTAATTACAAGAAAAATTTGTTTTATTTTTTATTTTTTGTTTTTTTTTTTATCGTGAGAATATTAAATTAGTTTTCAAGAGTTTGCTGTAATATTTTTGCCTTAGAGCTTGATTTTCGACTTTTATTATTAGTTTTTAAGGTTTTTTTTTATACACTTTATATACCTATATACATACCTACGTTATATACATATATATATCTGGAAAATATAGGAGGAAAATAAGAAATTTCCGTTTTAATTTATGTTTGAGTTGTTTGGCTAGAAGAAAATAGAAAAATTTATTACAGAAACAAAAATAATTTTCCTTTTTTTTTTTTAAATTTCGTAAAAATTTTCCTTTTAGAAAATTTTTGATTAACTATACCTTAAATTATTAAGAAACAAACGATTTTTATGAAAAATTTCTTTAAGGCTGTATATATTTGACTTTTTGTGAAATTTACATAGAATTAATAAACCTATTCAAAACTGTTAAATGAAGACTTAAGTTGATCTGAGTCAAATTCTTTCTTGTTTAATAAATTGAGTTATTAAGGTTTCAAAATTAAATGTGTGTATGTAGCTTATAGCGAGGAATAATTTAAAATATTGTTGAATAATTTGGCAGTTGCAATTTTATCTCGATTTGCTTTTGTAAAATATTCGAGCTTCGTGCATTTTGTATTTAGTAAATGTTCTTCACTTTTTCTTCCTTATTGACTACACTTTGAATTTTTAATTAACCATATTGTTTGTTATATTAAATTTATCTTATATATAAAAATTAATTCATAAATATCTACATATATACTAGTATATAAAAATGAATTAAATATTTTGTGTGACCGGTCTTCATTAATAAATCTCTCAACTGCTGTTTCGAGTAATTAATGGAAAAGTTTTGTAATTGAATCGGAAGTTGTTTAAAACAATTTAGCGGTTGATTTCTAAAAGAAAGATCTTTGAAAAACCTGTCATCTCGAAAGTTACAACGAGAATATCGAATTTTAAAATAATTTTAAGCCAGGTAAGGCTATTGAAGGAAGGCTATTTATAATTGATTCAATTGAATTAATTATAAATAGCCTTTAAAGGCTATTGAATAAGGCTCTTTATTTTTGGAATGGAAGATTTTTGAAAAGCAGCCCCCTGAGGCCCGATGGAATACGGAAAAAAAGTGTAAAATATAGTTCAGTTTAATATTTGATAATTAAATTAATTGATTTTAGTAGATTTAAGAAAAAATTTACCAACATACCTTCCGTGATCACGAGAGAAACTTTAAGTTTGCGGAATTCT